TCACAGGACAGGTCAAGAAGGTCGGCGACAACAAGTACGATGTGATCGGTACGGTCACCAAGATCGACGACACTACGCTCGAGATTACCGAGTTGCCCATCCACAAGTGGACTCAGAACTTCAAGGCTGAGCTCGAAGTGATGTGCGGCGAGAAGGGTGACGGCTACGTCAAGGCATGTCCTGCTTCTATGATTATCTGCGCCATATCACTCATCTTTCGTGGCCCATATAGGATTACAAAGAGTACCACAACAACATGAACGTTCACTTCGTCATCACGATGAACGAGAAGGGCATGGAGGTTGCCGAGAAACAAGGATTCCACGAGTTCTTCAAGCTGACCACCAAGATCAACACTGGAAACATGGTCTGCTTCGACTTCGACGGCAAGATCAAGAAGTACAACTCGGCTGAGGAGATCATCGAGGACTTCTACCCCAAGCGTCTCGCATACTACCAGAAGCGCAAGGTTCGTAACACAGCATTCTACACTGTTGCATGCGATATTAAGACCTCAACAGGACTTCTTGGCAAATGAGCTCCAGCTCCAGCTAGATCGCCTGAACAACCAAGCCCGCTTTGTTAAGATGATCGTCGACAAGGAGCTCATCGTCGCCAACAGGAAGAAGGCCGACATCGTCGCGGAGCTGCGCAAGAAGCAGTTTAGGCCCTTCCCCAAGGTAGTCAAGGCCAAGGTTCACGGCGAGATCGAGGATGCCGCTGAAGACGAAGATAGTGGAGAAGAGGAGGGCAACGTCACCGACTATGACTACCTCCTTGGTATGGCCATCTGGAGCTTGACGAAGGAGAAGGTTTGCGATCCGCTTGCTTTGTCAAACGTGGCAGTCACTAATTCAAACCCTGTTTGCAGATCGAGAAGCTCCTTTCGCAAGCCAAAGAAAAGGAGGCCGAATTGCTCACTCTTCTTGAGCTTACGCCCATTCAGATCTGGAAGACTGATCTCGACGTCTTCCTTGAGCAGTGGAAGGTGAGCATGTTGCGTCTTCCTACGAGGCGCTGTTCATTGAACCCTCAAACCCGCACCAGAAAACGTGTCAGGACTGGGAGGCCAAGCTCTGTGCCGCCGAAGAAGAGAGCACAGGCAAGAAGGGCAAGAAGAAGCAGGCCAAGCTGCCCTTCACACAGCCCAAGAAGCCGAAGGCAGAGGATGACGATGAAGACTTCAAGCCTGGGAAGGCTACGGCGAAGTCAAGGAAGGCCTCCCAGACCACGAAGAAGCCTCCTGCCGCCGTTCCTTCAGCCTCGGGCGTCGTCATCAAGAAGGACGAGGACGAAGACGACTTCGTTCCTCCACCTCCCAAGAAGCGTGCCGCTCCTGCCAAGAAGGTGGTCGCGAAGATCGAGTCCGACTCTGACGTCGAGATGGTGGATCCACCGCCGAAGCCTGCAACTAAGAAGAAAGCGGTAGCCAAGGTCGAATCAGACTCGGACTTCGAGTCACCGCCGTCGTCGAAGGACAAGGGCAAAGGCAAGGCTAAGCCCAGCTCCGCAACGAAACGAAAGAGGTTGGTCTTGTTTTAATGTGGTTCCCTTAGCCTTACTTACCCACCATCTGCAGTCCGGATGCGGAGATCGATGACAGTGACGACGACATGTACATCAAGCCTGCAGCAAAGAGGAAGAAAGCGGAGAAGTCTCCTGCGCAGGATGACGACGACGACGACGTCATGGTAGTCCCCGCACCCGCTAAGAAGAATGGGAAGCAGGCTACGGTGACTGAGTTCTTTGGCAAAGCTCCAGCTGCAGCGGCTGCCAAGAAGCCAACGGCACGCAAGGTCTCTGCGAGCAGTCAGGCGTCGAAGAGTGCGCCGGCAAAGAAGCCAGCCAAGAAGACCGTTGTCTCAGAAGACGACTTCTCTGACGACTCCGACGTACCACCACCACCGAAACCACGCGCCGAGGCACCGAAACGCGCGACACGGGGCGTGGTATCCAAGTACGTGGAGATCACATCCGGGGACGAGGACGACCAGGGCTCCGACTTTGAGGACTTCGACTAGACTCAGTGTTCCTTGATCTGTTTTGATGATACCAGGCTTGCTGCTTCGCCACTGCCTCTCCGCTGTGGGCGTATTTGTGTATTCTTATCACCTCGCTGGCTGTGCCGTTTTGGCTGTGTATTCCACGCTGATCACGATCCTTTGATGATATCCGTACTTATCCTGTCCAATCCAATCCATTGTGTTCAATACTCCAACCTAATTACACTCGGTGTCTGTAACATGCTCTAGGGCGCCGCACGCTTCGCACAGAGAGAAGATGAGCAAATTGTACATCGAGCAGAGCTTCACGACTTCGTCGGCGGCTTGAAGTCCTTGAGCCACGCCTGGACGAACTCGACCTCCTGCTCGTGGATGGCGCGGATCTGCGGGGGTTCCTGGCTGTGGTCCGCCAAGCCGTTCTCATCGTAGTGATGCACACCCTCTGAATAGCGTATACCGTCAGCAGTATGTCATGCACATAATGAGATCATCTTACGGGGAATCAACTTGAACGGCCGGATAGTCGTGTCAGGACGCGGGTGCGCAGCAGGGTCAGGGCTGTGAGGGGTGTCGCCCCTCCACGGGTCCCCTACCGAAGGACGAGATGTCAGGCATGTACGCAGGATCCGTTATATTGTGAAGGACGCACATTGGCCATCGATGATGGCGAGACGGTCGTACGCGATGTTGTAGCCACCGAGCGAGTTCACGGCAGTGATGTTCGGCTCCGCGGGAACCTTGAAGACGTGTCCCGGAGGGTATGCCTAGCGGTTGCGGTGAGCTCCTTGGTTTAATGACCACCGAGCGGGTTGAGTGAGCTTACGAGCTTGCAGATCTCAGATGCGTAGGGAAGAGTTATCAGCTTTGATATGATACGCGGAATCGCCGGGTCCGGCGGCGGAGTCTAGGGAGATGCTTTGGTTTGTGTTCATGCTGAATGGTATTTGAGATGGGCGTACCATGAAGAAGCCCCATTGAGTGCAGACTTGGAAAGTCCAGAGGCGCCAGGTCTGGGAGAGGTCAGTCTGGAGATAGAAGTCCTTGTCCGTGATGGTTCCGAAGCACTGTGAACAGGACATGAGGCTATCAAGACATGGGTCACAGATAGCTATACATACCTCGTCCTGAGTTTGCGGAGGCCTGCAACCGTCCACGTAGTTCTATAGATATTGTTAGTATGTGTCCCGCGCTGATAAACAATCAATGAACTACATACGCTCTTGATGTACTTTGCGTAATTGAACGTGGCGTTGCTGACTGTGATACCCTGCTCCGTGTGCACCTTAGCATTGTCAGGGGGGCCCAAAGCCTCACAAAACTCGGCGAATGCATTGCTGCCGACCGCAGGATCCCAATTGTTGTCCTGCCATGCGCCAAGAGGGTTCTACACCAGCTATCAGTCACCTTCGCTCGCCATAAGACACACGTATTCCGCCATCCACCCACCGATAGCAGCGAAGCAAAGTCGGGGTCATATGTCAAGTTCTGCACACCGAAGACGGCCTTGATAGCGTTCCGGGTTGCCGCGTTGGGGCTCGTGATGAGGCTGTCGACCTCGTCCACGGTCTTCTCGACCTGCGCGATGCAGTCCGCCGGGGCGTACTGCCGGATGATGTCGAAGTAGCGCCAGTCGTCGAGGGTCGCGTGCACGACGCCGCTGGACGATATCGCGCCGAAGACGAGCTCCGGGTACAAAACCCGCATGTGCGCAGCGCGCGCGCCGCCGTACGAACCCTGTGCAACATGTGCTGCGTGAGATGCTTCGCGTTCTTACTCCGAGATACGCGCTGGACGTGTCAAGGAAAGGGAAGGAATGCTCACGCCATAGTATATCCACGCCGTGCCTGGCGCCGTGAGATCACCAGGAATGGTGGGGAACGTGACGTTGTCGATGAAATTGGCCGAGTCGGCGGCGGCTTGCTCGTTGTTCAGCCACCTTACAGCATATATGGTCAGTTCAAACGTCAGATGTGTGGTCAGTGGGGCGCCAGCGCGGCAAGCCCGTACCTCAAAGAATCCGTGGTGAAGTTCTGCACGGGCACAGATTCCCCTGTGAGATGCATCATCAGCGTCCGGGCCTTGTGACACGCCGAGAAGATGCGCCCTACCATAATACCTGTGTTCGAGCACGATGCCGAGGCCATTGGTCGCGTTTGCGAGGATGTCCACGATACCGGTGTCGAGAATGGGCATACGCTCATCGCCCGGGCCTTCACCAGCCTCGAAGACGATGACAGGCCCGCCCGCTTTGTAGTGACGGTCGTTGAGCCAGTAACGCTGCTCGAACGTAAAGCCGGTGTCCACAAAGTGGTCCAGAGGCTGCGTAAAGGTGTAGACCGGGAACGTCGCGCTCTGACGTTTCGCGATCGCGGATGAAGCCTGCGACCTCGCCTGCAGCTTCACATGGTGAGGGTTGAGCGGGAAGCGGGCGTCCGACCCACTGGCGAGCTGGAGGAGCAGGAGAGCGGACGTGCTCAGGCTCAAGAGGCCCGACCTGAGAGACGGCATGGCGGCTCTGATGGAGAGGGCGAGTCCGAGTCGGAGCACGCAGGGGAGGTCGCGATGCCCTTTTATACGTACGTACGATGACGGATGATAGGCAGAACATTGCTGAAATAGTTCTGATCCTTGGGTCTTCTTGACCGTGACCCGGACGGCATGCTGATGGTTTGAAGTGTCGGCACAGCATCATCAATGGTCCACATGAGACCACGCGCTCAGTAGCCTCAGTTGGCGCATAACTTCTCGCAAAGGCCCATGTGGACGTAGGGGTGATCAACGCTATGCGTATCTCTCAAGCTCGCCATTCAGCGCACAGGGACGTAGACTATTGGCGAGATTAAGCCAGTGTAGCGACGACGAACGTAACACTCAGCCAGAAAGCATTTGGTTTCGAACTCGCTCACTGACAGGCTGAGGCTGGCGCAGTTCCCGATGATCTCCGGCGGTCAAATCTAATACGTTATTGAGTTCGTAGGTAGTGGCCTTGAATCTATATGCCCCATGGCTGAGTTGGTTACAGCGTCCGACTGTTAAGCATATCAGTTGATATCTAAATATCGGAAGGTCGTGAGTTCGAGCCTCACTGGGGCAGCATACACATGTGTTGGCCTTTTTGCTGACAACTCTGTAGATCATGATTCGAAATTAGGTAGAATGGATGACCGGCTCTCTTTGTGACGTTCCGTACATTGTGTGTCCTGACGTTTATCAGCCCAAGTGAATGGCGTCCAACGTTGTTAGGTAGCCGCACTTTCTCCATGCAAAGGTATCAAGCAATAAAACTCCCATCCCAGCTTCCGTCTCAATGAACAAGGGATTCATCTACACAACCGCAAAACCAATGAAACCAACCAAGGACAAAGGGTATATGTGCCCCGTGGCTGAGTTGGTCACAGCGTCCGACTGTTACTTCAAATGTGTTAGCTCATCAAATCAGTCGTGATATCGGAAGGTCGTGAGTTCGAGCCTCACCGGGGCAGGCAGAGGTAGCGCGCTTTGCATCTTTTTGACTTACACCAATCGTTTGCTCGATTGGACTGTACGTTGGAAGTCGAGATGATCGAGTTATATAAACCATTGGAAGCGATTGCACAGAACTTGCACTCTGAGGTGGAGACGGTGAGATAATCTCGCTTGTTAGGGCAGCATTTCTACACCAAACACACAAGATATGTACGAGGACTCGCATGAGTTATCGCTGTTGTGATTCCGGACATGCGAGGCGATGTGGGACTCGAAGAGCGGGGAAAGAAGCACACGATTCGATCACTACGCCTGCCATATGGGGGTGCACACTTTCGCGTAGGCGCCGGTCCACAATTTCTGACCTTTCCCGGTCGTGCAACGGACACTCTCCAGCACTCCATTCCGGCCATGCTCGCTCTTCGCCGTCTGCCTCGCTTCACTCCAAGGCTAGCGAGCATACGCGGGAATGCTACGCTAGACGTAGCAGCCAACTCCCAGGCCGACGTTCCCCCACCCCCGCCCGCCTCGTCCGTGACAGCGCAGTCAAGCGCCGCTGAGAGCAAGCAGCCCGGGAACGCCAGCGGAACCTCGTCTGCTCAACAGCAACAACCCCAGAGCGGCGGCGGTGGGAGGAAGGCTTCTACTCAGGCGCCGAAGGAATGGTGTCGTCCTATTGCGAAGGGCGTTGAGCCCGCGTACGACTACGCGCTGCGCTACATCCTGAAGGACGCGAAGTTCCTGAAGAAGGAGCTGGAGGAGCTTCGTGCGGCCGTAGAGGCGGAGGAGAAGAAACCTGAGGGCGAGCGTGATGAGGCGGCGTTGCAGGCCATGCGCGAGCGGGTTGATATTTTGGAAATCCAGAGTGAGGTCAACTTGCCTGAGGTCAGGTGGAAGGCGAGGAATGGCATGGGTGCGTATATTGCCATGCGTAGACCACAGTGATAGCTGAAAATCTGCGCAGCGGACATGAGCAAGACGGTCTATAGACATCTGGTGGAGCAGCAATGGAGGGAAGAGGGTGGCTTAGACTTGCTGGTACGCTACACTCAAACCCTAGCAGCTACTTCTGGCGCTGACAGGTTGCACAGATGGAGCGTATTTACCAAATGAATGTCGTTCCTGACATGCTCCCCGAGCTTCACCCTACCTTTGATCTGCGCATCAAGTACGCTGAGCCCCCTCCGGAGAGTAACTACCTGCGCACTCGTGTTAAGCGGAAACTGAAGGAGGTTGAGCCTGGCATCTTCCTGGTTCCTGAGCAGGTACGTCTCCAGTTGAGCAAGTGCGCATAACAAACGCTGACAGTTGTTTCTGCTGTTTGCAGACCCGGAGGCCGCCACAGATCTCCACTACTCTCTTCCACACCGACACGCGCCTGTACACCCTGCTCATGGTCGACCTTGACGTGCCAAACCCGGAGACCCGCTCTTTCACGACCTACCTCCACTGGATGCAGCCCAACATCCCTCTGTCTGCGTTCACGCCTTCCCCCACCGTCCCTCTCGACACGCACACGCCCTACGTCCCCCCACACCCGCAGCGTGGAACTCCTTACCACCGCTACGTGCTCCTCGTCCTTCCGCAAGCCTCAGCCACGGAGCCCATCGACATCCCTGTCTTCGAGGAGGAGAACAGGCTCGGATTCGACTTCCGTACGTTCGCCGAGCAGTACGGGTTCGACGGTGCACGGGGTGGCGGAGCGCACATGTGGCGTGAAGTCTGGGATGAGACCGTGTCGCATATCTATCGGTACACGCTCAGTAAGGTTTCCTGTTCTGTATGTCTGAGAGTTGCGCTGACATGGCACTGCTCTTTTCTCGCCTTGCAGAGAAGGAGGAGCCCCGGTTTGGCAGGATGCCGAAGCCGGACCCGTACGCGGATCTCAAGCGGTCGAAAAAGTACCTCTAGACGCGTCGAGTACAGCATTGGTCCTATTAGTTGTAGCCACTCCCATAATACGATCTACTCTGCTTTTATTCTTGGGTCAAGTAGTTTTCACATGCTGTGCGCGGACGCTCGTGATGAGTGCGATGCATATTGAGAGTCAGCGCTGCGGGACGGTGGCCATGGGCCCGTGCATCGGCTTTGAGATCTGCAGTGCGGCTTGGCGACGACCATGATGCTTTCTGCTATAACCACCACCGCGGCCGTCTCACACCTGCACCTCCTCACCATCCTCGCACAGCGCAGGCTGCTATTACACGATGTCTGAGCTCTCCGTGAGCCCGCAGCTCACGCCAAACGTACACGACTCGTCCCCGCTCGGCTCGCTCATCCGGAGGACGTCGTCAAGGCGCGCGCCCAACCACAGGCCGGCCAACCTCGAGCTCCCGAACCCTCCACGATCCGCCGCGAACACGCCCCCGGCCCCGCCCCACTCCCCGATTCTACATACACAGTTCCGCTCGTCGACGGCGACCGCGTCGTCGTACTACGACGATGCGAGCATGCGCACGTTCTCCTGGGACGGCCGCTCGGCCACGACCGTCCCCTCCTCGCCCTCGAGCACGCGCACGTTCCGCGGGCCCGCCGCGCCGTCTGCGCAGGGCGGGCAGCTGCATGCGGACCCCGCACACGAGTCGGTGCGTTCGTCCAACTATGACATCGACGACATCACGGCCAGGTACCGCGACACCTGGCGCTCGTCCGGCGTTGATCCGCCCTCGTTCTACGAGCCCGAGGAGGACGCGCCGGCCGTGCCCACCGTCGTCGTCTCCACTGCCCCGGAGCCGGAGGAGCAGGCGTATGCGGTACCGGGTCCGTCGAGAGGGGGGAGGGTGCCTTCGCGCGTGGCCACTGGGAACGTCAACTTCTCCAGGCCGGGGCTGCCCCCGGAGGAGGTGGAGAGGGAGAAGAAGCGCGAGGTGCTCATGAGGAATGCGCGTCACACCCACTCGTCTTCGCCGTATGGATCACCAGCGCACTCGCCTGCGGCCAGTCCGCGCTTGGGCCCGAGCTCGTTAGCCTCGCCGTCTGGCCAAAGCTCACGACCAACGTCGCCGGCTTCACTTTCAGACAGGCAACCTCCACATTCCCCACATGCTCAACAACTCCCTCCTCAACCTTCACCATCTACCTCAGGGGGCCTCGCAGCGCGCATACCCTCGCAAATGAGCGTGTACTCCAACTATTCGTACTACGAACTGCCCCCAACACCCACTTCAAATTCCCAACCGCCCACTCCGGGACTGCCACCGCCCGCGCCGACTACGCCATCCAGCCCTGGCGGGAACCGCAAACGGGCCAAGTCGACGGCCGGACAAGCGGGCAAGGCCGAACCAGTGAACATCAACGACCCCAAGACGCCTCAGGACTACCTCCAGCTCGGCATCCAGCACCACCTCGAGAACCGGCTGTCCGAGTCCGCCGCGGCGTTCGAGAAGGCCGCGACGCTGAATGGCGGGTGCGGGGTGGGCATGCTCATGTGGGGTCTCGCGCAGAGGCATGGCTGGGGCTGCCCGAAGAGCGAGGTCGCGGGCTTTCGATGGCTGCGCCGGGCGGCAGAATTGGCTGTCACCGATTTGGAGAAGGGGAAGAATGGAATGGACATGGGGGCGGTCAGGGTGAGCACTCTGCGCGATTGCGGACGGGTGAGATGTGTTCTAACGCCATGTTGGTTGTAGTCGGAACTGGTGCTTGCGATCTATGAGGTCGGCCAGAGCTTTTACCGCGGATGGGGCGTCGAGAAGGACAAGGAGATGGGTGTTGTGAGTCTGGCTCCTCATGTCCCCAGCCACTTGCCAGAGTTGCTAACGAGAACCCATACCCACAGCAATACTTCCGCGTCGCAGCACGCCTCGGAGATCCGGACGCGCAGCAGGAGCTTGCGTTCTGCCTTGTCAACGGCAAGGGCTGCAAGAAAGATAAGCGCGAGGCCGCGAAGTGGTATCGCGCAGCGGTGAGCATTCTGCCCAGCAGTTGCGCAAATCAAACATGGCTGATGCATTTGTTGCTGGCTAGGTTGCGCAGGGCGTGAGTGATATCGGGCTGGCCTGGATATACAAGGACAAGTACCAGTGACCCGTTGCTACTCCCACCGCTGGTTTGTCTGCGATGAGATATTTGGTGGCGGTGCTTCTGAGGGCTTGCTGTCCTTCGCTCATACCCTTCATGTTCTTATACCCTGCTGCTAATCCAGTCCCTGTGCCAGTTATACGACGATATTTTGCGTGATCGTTTGACGGTGTGACACTGTATATTACTTGACGGTTTGACCTCGATGGTATTTACTCAAGGCACTAAGTTGTTTGTGTAAAGAAGATGTCATTGCAGGTGCCTCCGTACTTGCGAAATGTGGGCTGGGTACCACGACATGCGAAAAAGTGAACACGCCTGCCCCGGTGAGGCTCGAACTCACGACCTTCCGATGTATGCAAGTAACAGTCGGACGCTGTAACCAACTCAGCCACGGGGCACATGCAAATTGCCACGTTTAGCAGTACATATAGTTGTAAGGGTTTTCCTGTGCTTAACTGGGAAAGTGGCAAGCCAAATGCGGCCGAGGAAATTGTAGGCCACGTGGGATGCCCCTGATCAGGCAGACGGACCGGCGGCGTTGGTCCACTGCTGGTGGCGGCAGAGAGTGAGAGCGAGCAATCGAGAGCCAGAGCCAGAGCCAGAGCCAGAAAGCGGGACTCGGACGAACCACGCCCTTTGCCATCCTCGCGCCCATTCCGTTCGACACAGGCCTTGCCTCTTTCCCTCGTCACGCCTCTCTCTCAACTCTCTTGTCCTCGACTACCATCTCAGCCCAACAATCCGTGCACAATTGCGCGACATCCCCGCCTCGACGTAACTGCCTCCTGTGCCACGAACGTCCAGTAGCACGCAGCCTCTCTTACATCGTGAGCGTGGCCACCGCCATCTCCTCATCGACGCATACAGGCACCTCTCTATTCAGCTCAACCACATCCCCAACAATTCCTCCACCTCACACTGACCGTGTAATCCTACCATGCCCAACGCATCCTCTGCCAACTCCCACGTCCACCCATCCTCAGCACACCCATCCTCCACCTCCGCCACCACTGCCAACGCCCCGTCCACTACTATTGCTGCCCCAGCAGCCCCCGCCCCCCGCGCTCGCGCACAGAATTCCCGAAAGCGCGCCGCACAAGCCGACGATGCAGCGTACCACGCCGCAGCCGGCACCAAACGCTCCGCCGTCGACCGAGCTGACGGCGACCGTGAGCGAACAAAGCGAAAACGCGTCGACGCGTCTGCCTCGGGCGCAGGTGCGGGAGCACAAACAACCTCTGCAGGAGGCGCCATCAATGCGGGGGACAAGGAAGACCGGGTATCTTTGGTGAGCATTCGCATCTCCTTATGTCAAACTATACGAGACGGACGGCCCTCGGACACTGGACGTGGGACGTGGGACGCGACTTGACGGGTTGGGCTGCTCTGGCGTACCAATCTGTCCAGATAGATGCTTGTTCGACCAGAACGCGATGCGGATTGACTCGCGTGGGTTGATACCCGTACGAGACGCTAGGGGGCGGTTCAACACGCAGTGAGCACGCTACCGGCCGCCTGCCCACTGCGGCACTGTGAGCATATTCATAGCAGACAACGATATTCAAACCCAGCTCGAAGCAACAGTGGAGCTTCGGTCGCCTTGGTGCGCGTAACCACTGGGCCGCCCTGCTGAGAAGTTCCGGACTGCGCGGCTCGTATCGAAGAACTGTGCGCTCGCCGTCAGGATCATTCATACCCACCTTCTCTGATTTTCTTTTCTGCGATCACACTTATGAGCGAACCCCATTGGGTGTGGAATCAGGGCTGTGATGCTAACAATCTCGTATTTTCGTCGCAGATTGACTTTACGGCACTGCCAACCGATGCATTGCACCGGTACCTGGCACACTTCGACTTGATACCGGACCTGGATCCTTCGCCGCTCAGTGTCGAAGATCCTGGCCCGCCAACGTCGTTGCTTAAGCCAAAGAGCCACCTTCCACCACATGGACATGCCCTGCGAAGGACGTCCACAGCCAGCCCGGGCCCGACAGGGACATCAGCCAATAGAGCCCGTCGCGACCCCGCGGGCAATCGACGGCGCAGCTCGCGGCTCGTCGAAGATGAGCGGATACCTGCACCTCCGCCTGTGTACGGCGATCTGGCCGAAGTGGACGGGGTACTGGCCGCGATCGCCGAGCGGCACTTTCGCGAGCAGGAGGTCAAGGAGGTCGACACGCTCGCGGCGTTCATGTGCGCGGTGCAAGCAAAGGGTGAGCGTTGCGTATCCAACTGAGCCAGCATGATTGGTGTGAACGAGAGTCTGTATGCTGATGGGAAATGACGTTATGGCAGCTCGCCTGGCGTCGTAGGGGATCCTCGGCCAATCAGCGCTCGCGGTCTGCTCGGCGACCGTCTGTCTAGTGTCTGTAGCGGGCGCTTGGTCGGATAGCTGCAAGTTCCCAAGGATGGCAAGAGAAGCTGAAAGCCACGCACCAGTCTGCCTCCGATCTGCCAACTCCGTCCCAGAAATAGCCCCTAGTCCTTGTTTCCCTAGCGACAGCCTGTACATGCTCCTCTCGGATGGCCTTCTGTCAGATGCATCCTGTCCACACACAGCAACAATGTCTTCCTCTTCCGCCGCCACCCTCACTACTTATATATACCTCATCTTTCCGGTGGAGCCCCCATCCCTCTTCTCCTCCTCCTCCTCCTTCACCATCTTTGCAGCAGTGCTGCCTGGTCCCGGTTTCTGTAGGTCACTTTGCCCCGACTATCATGCGTTTCTTACTGACCTATTTGGACAGTTGAGCCTTCTTACCCGTTCCGGTCTTTTCGTACTTTCCGAAGCTAGCTTCGCGTCGACTTTTCACACTCGCTACAACCATGAAGTTCTCCACCTCTTTCGCGACTGTTCTTGTTCTCCTCCCCGTTCTCGCGCAGGCGAAGCCTTTCGTAAGTTGATCAGCTTGCTAATATCACACTCGTGCTGCGATCACTGACCGCGGGCTTCTACAGGGCTTCCAGGGTGGCTTCGGCAACCAGAACCAGCAAACCAAGGGTGGCAACAACGCTGGTCAGGCCGCGGGTAAGGCTGGTAACCAGAATGCCGGCAAAGGTGCTACGGCTGCTTCTGCTGCCGGTGCCGGTGCGACCGCCTCTGCTGCCCCGCCTGCCTCTGTCTCGGCTGCTGCTGGCCAGGGCACGAACTCGAACGACCCTCAGTCATCACTGAGTACGTTCCGCTATTACTGTGCCGTCTTGCAGAAAGAGGGCTTACAACTTGTTTGCCTTAATTAGCGCTCCTCCAGTCTGTCATCGCCACCGGGTTCGAGAACGACGGCCAGGACCAGCCAACTGCCGGCCAGGTGCCCTCGCTCACCTCGTCGAACAACTTCATCAACTTCTGCGCCACGGTGCCCAACCTTCCGATCACGAACGGTCAACAGATCAAGACGGGCTCATGCAACCCCGCCCCGATGGGTATCATCGCCGCAACGACGAACATGCCGTCGTCGAAGTTCGTCAGCCCGAAGAACGGGGACACTGTCCCTGCGAACACGAACTTCACGATCCAGATGGCCATCCAGCACCTCGAGACGGGTCACTTCACGAACGCGAACGAGAACTACTTCGCGGCGCCGCAGGTCGTAAACTCCGCGGGCGACATCCAGGGCCACTCGCACGTCGTCATCGACCCGCTCACTTCCCTCGACCAGACCACGCCCACGGACCCGACCAAGTTCGTGTTCTTCAAGGGTCTCAACGACCCCGCGCAGAACGGCGTTCTCAGCGTCGTGGTCGACGGTGGTCTCCCCGCTGGTACTTACCGTCTTGCATCCATCAACACCGCCGCGAACCACCAGCCTGCCCTCGTCGCCATCGCGCAGCACGGTGCTCTCGATGACATGATCTACGTGAGTTCTCTCTACCTTGGTATACTGTACATGGTCTGATGGTGATGTGCCCTAGTTCACTGTCTCTGACAACGGTGCTGCTGCCGGTGCGGGTGCGGGTGCTGCCTCGGGTGCTGGTGCTGCTGGCGCCGCTTCGTCCGCTGCCGCCGCTTCGTCTGCTGCGTCATCGTCTGCTGCGACCGCGGCCGCAGGCAAGGGTGGCAAGGGCGCCGGCAACCAGGCGGGTGCCAAGCAAGGCCAGGGTGCCGCGGCGGCTAAGGGCGCCGCTGCTGGCAAGGGTGCCGCGCAGAACAACGCGGGCGCAGGTGCGGCCGCTGCGCAGAAGGGCGGCTTCAAGAACGCCCGCCGCGCGATCTCGTTCTGAGCGGGTCGCCTCCTTCGTTCTTTGTCGTGTTGTGGGACTGTGCGCGCACTAGTAGCGTCGGCTGAGCGCTGAATGTGGACCTGTACGAGGTAGTACCTTGTGTAGCTCCCTCCCATGGTAATTAGCCTTTGTGTGTGTAGCATCATCTTCCTTTCGTTCGTGCGTTGTGTGTAGTTTACTGCTGCTAGTCGGCGCGCTGCTGTGCGGACTGACCACTGTTGTTTCCGAATAGACGGGTTTGTTTGGCTCTAGGATCGTCTGGTGTGTGGTGTGCGGCGTGAGACGGTGAGAGGTCCGAGTGACTGGTACATAGAACTTGCCTCACCCTATGCTACTCCCGTGAGTCTGGATGCTTGAGGTTTGTTGGCCTGCAAGCTGCTTTAGTCCAGACATGTAGACCCGCTCCCCTGCGTATCCACTGGCCAGGTCACGGATGCGTTCTCGCTGGTCTGGCCGAGGAGCATCTCGGCGTATCTTGAACGACTTCCCCTTCCGGACCGCGCCCACCGGTGTGCAGGTGACGTCATGCACGTGCTCTCAGCCACGGTCCCGGTCCCACTGTCTTTAGAAGTCTTGGGCCCGTCCGCGGACGTCCATCGCTCTATCAACGACCACCATCATCCCTTCCTCCCTCTCATTGTCTTCATACCACCATGAGTCTACTACAAGACGTGCTACGCACGCAGACGCTGGAGTCGCTGGACAAACAGCTCGGGGCGCAGGCTAACGGCCGGACCACCCCTTTGGGCGACCGAGACGAGAGCGACGACGAGCTCGTCAACGTAGTGGGTATAGCTTGAGTTTGGTGTCGTGAAGCACACTGACTCTTTGTAGGTCTCTGCCCCTGGGACTCCCTCGCAGTCAAGGCCAGCATCGAGGCCAGGCTCGAGAGCCCACTCGCCCACACGGAGAGGCGGACGACCGAGTCCGCTCCATCCGATGTCAGCACCGAAGCCGAGCTCGACCGATCCCCTGAAGGCGTTCCCCACCGACGTCTCCCAACGCATCTTCTCGCAGCTCTCTATCCGGGACCTCGCGCGGTGCTCGCGCGTGTCGAAGAGGTGGAACCGGAGCCAGACGCTGAACTATGGTGGGTGGTGGTCGCTCGGCCTGCGATGGGAATGCTGACTGAGCGCGGGCTGGGACAGTGTGGTTCCAGCATTACCGGAAGGAGAAT